CATGACAGGAGTCCAGAGTGAAGGCTGCATACTGGAGTGGACTTGGGGGGTGGGATTGTAAAACAATGAAAGAATTCCTCTTTTGCTTTTCAAAGAAAAGAACGACCAGGAGGGGAAGGGTGGGTAGGGAGAAAAATGCAACAATGAATGAATGGAAATCCAAAGTCTCTGTAAATTTTCATTAAAATTAATATTAAAAGAGGGGGAAATGCACATATAAAACCAGACCAGCTGTCACTGTAACAACTCCAGCTCATGGCCACCCTGTGTGTGTCCATATAGCTGTGTCCCCCAGTACAGGATTTTCTCTTGACATTAGCCCCCTGTGACAGACTCCCACTGTGCCACCAACGCAGTTCCAGCTCTGAGAAGCCCTCCGTCACGCTATGACGGCTGCAGGAGCAGGCTCTCTCCTTCTAGTGAGGAGCAGCTGGAGGAAAGCAGCCTTAGAAAGCCCATGTCTGTGTAGAAACAGTGACTACTCACTGATGCCGTCAAACTGTGCTGTTGTCTGTGGACCATGCTCTTGGTGCCTAGGACAAGGTCTCGTTTCTCAGGGGTAGAGGGAAAGTGCCTTCCAGCTGCCTTTTCCCTCGTGAGCTCACCGATAACTTACCCAGAGTATTGGTTGACAAGCACTTGAAAAATCCAGTCCAAGTTCAGTTTAGCGAAAGTGAGGCTTTACTACATGATTTTGCAAAATCAGGTTCTCAAGCCCAGATGAAGAAGTGGGCTCTTGTACTTTTGACAGCCCACCAAGGGTTTTTATACCTCTCATTCACAAATCCCTCCCCCAATTCCTCATTAGGTGAGTACAGATTTAAATTCTATCCTCACCACAATGCCACCTGTCTTTACCTCTTCTTTTATGTTGTTGTTTTTGTTGTTGTTAGGTGCCATCTAGTCGAGTATGACTCATAGCAACCCTATGAACAGAAGATCTGAACCTAATCCTGTCCTATGCCAACCTTATGTTTCCTGACACACAAGAGCCCATTGCAACTGACTTCCAACCTGGGCTCTATAGCTGAACTACTATACCTATCTTCTTTGCTTAGTGCTTGTAGGGTTTTCAGAGAAGCCTTGTACTTAGGAAGTAGATGGCCCATTCTACTTCCCAATCTGTCTCAATCAGAGAGCTCCACCAAAACCCATCAATGATGGTAAACCCTTCTGGAGTTTGACACACTGGCGGCAAAGATTTCAATATGACAGCAACCCAAGTAATCGTAGTAGAGCAAACTGACAGACAAGTGCTGCATCACTTAGAACAAAAAAATATGGAATGGTTTACAAATTTGCATGGCTTTTATGACCACCCCCATATTCCATCTGTGCACACATTGCAGGGCTCCATGGTCTGACATGACAGCTAATAGTTTATGTTTCCTTTGAGTCACTCACTATCTCAGCCATTGCTGTCTTTCACCCTGAAGATGGACCTGTCTAAACTTTATTTCTTACATTGGCAGAGTATTGCATATACATGGGCTGTCAGAAAATGAACAAATCTGTATGAGACTTCATCTCTCATGCTTTGACCATGTTATCAGGAGGGGCAAGTCCCTGGAGAAGGAAATTGTACTTGGTAAAAGTTTAGGGTCAGCAACGGAGAGGAGGACCTCAACCTAATGGGTTGATACAGTGACTGTCACAATTGGCTTAGATATAGAAATTGTGAGGGTGGCACAGGATGGGACAGGCTTTCTTTCTGTTGTACATAGTATCACAATGTATCAAAACCAGTCAACAGATGCATCAAAACCAGTTAACCAGCATAACAATGCTTAACAACAATAGCAGCATATCCATTTATTTAGCTGTTCCCTCGTGAGCAAACTGAGCTGTTTTCCATTTTCTTTCTCTGTAACCAACATTATTACATTCTTTTAAAGTTTCTAACACATGATAATGGGAGTGTTTTCTCTCATTACTGTGATTTCTGTAGAAGCTTACAAAGCATATGGGATTTCCGTTTAATCATTCACGTCATTTTGTCTCGTAACATTGGTTACAATATTCACAATGGTCTCTGCAATTACCTGCTCTGCACCAGAGAGTTGGACAACGACTAAGGATGACAGAAGAAGAATCAATGCCTTCGACTTGTAGTGCTGGAGAAGAGTCTTGAATATACCATGGATTGCCAAGAAAACAAATAGGTCTGTCTTGGAGAGGATGAAACCAAGTTTCTCCTTGGAGGCTAGGATTTTAAAGCTCCGTCTCACATACTTTGGGCACATGGGCAAGAGGCACCAGTCCTTGGAGAAGGATATCATGCTTGGAAGGGTGGAGAAGAGTGTACAGGAGAGGAAGACCCCCAGATGAGATGGATTGATACAGTAACTAGGGCAATGGAGGTAGGCGTGTCAGAGTCCATGAGACTGGCTCAAGACACCGTAAGGTTCAGAGCAATGGTCAGTATGGGTCTAAGGCAACTCCAGGACTCTACTGCACACAATAACAACAACAGCAACAATAACAAACAATGCAATTGTGCTTTTCTAACATCCTCCCTGTTATTCTCATTTTCATATTCCAGTCCTTCCTGCCTTCAGGGCTTCTTCCTAGGACCAGTGCTGCTCCTTTGGCCTTTATATCGTTGATTATTCTAAGGAGGAGTGCCCCCCTGGTGGAATCGTTCACCTTATAGACTTGTCTAATTGTTTGGCTCAAAGTGGAGCAGCCATGACGGTGAATTTTATTCCAGGTTCAAAGAGTGACTAAGGGCCATAGTCTTGGAGATTCTGTCGCTCTCTGTCAGAACAGTAACCCTGGCCATTTTATGGGTTTTCATTTTGTTTCCTATCAATCCTCACTCTACCCAGAGTCTTCTGCTGCCCTTTCAGAGTGATGAGCAGTGGCCGCTGGGCACCATCTAGTTCTGCCGGTCTCTGAATTTGGACATTGAGGTTCACATGATCATCATCATTTGGCCTAATTGTTTCATTAGTGCCTTTCATCTCTCTTCTTCATTCTAGACAAAGAAAGACCACCAATAGCTGCCTCTCAGATGACTGATCACACACTTTTAAGACCCCAGTCACTGGTCACCAAAATAGAGAGCAGAACATGGTCTTTGTGGATTATGCTTTGCCAGTAGACCTTGATGTCCTCCAAGACTGTTGTCCTAAGGGACAGGCATGCTTTCTGACTACACTGTCAGCAGAAGTGACTGGCCACATGTGTCTACTGGAAACTTGAAAGGTGGCTAGTGCCATGAGGGACAAGATTTATTCGTTTAAATCCAAGCTTCACTGTTCTAGAACATAGACACCACTGCTGAGTCATAACATAACAACTTCACCCTGACTCAGTGATGCAAGTTGCTTGCATTCAGCATTTCTCTCTTTTTATTATCAGATCTCTTTTATTTGTACGAGGCTGTACTAGTTACTTAGTGAGGTAGGCCTTTTGCTCATTGAAGAAAAAGCTACTATGGAAACGTTTGACTTGTCGAGGCTTCATATTTTTCTAACAAATGGAGACAGATCACCTCTTTTTTTCAGTTTAAAAGTTTCTCATCATAGAGTGGTGATAAGTGGGGAATGAGGAAGGTGGTTAATAGTGAACAGAAACTTAAGAGAACACCCCCTAAGAGTTACATCTTACATTCATGATGATTCGTTTTTAAATGCTTAATTTGCAAAAGATAAAAGCTACCATTTCCTCATTTTTATTTGGGTTTGAAATTGACTTACTCAGGCTTCATGGGAGATATGCTTACGTCAAGAGCCATTATGGAGCCAGCATCCTCACACACAGTGTCCTTTCCAAGAATGCTGGTGTGTAGGGGCCGATGAGTCAGCCCCAGCTCACAGAGACCTAACGTGCAACGAAACACTGCCTGATTCTCTGCCGTCTGCACAGTCGTTACTGCTGTGAGTCCATGGTCACAACCACTGTGCCAATCATCTCGCTGAGGCTCCTGTTTTTCCTCTTACTCTCTACTTGACCAAGCATGATATCTTTCTAGACACTCCTGAGAACATGCCCACAGTATGTGAGACCAGGACCCCTGGTGAAGTATCGTGTGCAGGTTGGTCTGCTAGCTGAAAGGTTGGTAGTTGGAACCTACCAGCTGTTCCATGTTGTTGTTGGGTGCCATCAAGTCAAGTACAACTTGTAACAACCCCATAAACAACAGATCTGAACCCCGTCCTGTCCTGTGCCGTCCTCACCGTCTCTGACACACTCAGCCCACTGCTACAGTCACTGTGTCAGTCCACCTGATTGAGAGTCTTCCATTCTTTGGCCATCCCTCCACCGTCTCCAAGGAATAACTTCTCCAAGCATGATGTTCTTCTCCTGGCATGATGTCCTTCTCCAAGGAATAGCCTCTCCTAGCAACATGCCCAAACTTTGTAAAATGAAGCTTTCTAATCTTTGCCTACAAGGAGCACTCTAGCTACACCTTCTCCAAAACATATCTGTTTGTTCTTTTAGCAATCCACAGGATATTCAATACTATTCTCCAACACCACAACTCAAAGGCATCAGTTCTTCTGTCATCTGCATTTGTTATCCAGCTCACACAGCAGCATAGAAAGTGGTTGAAAAGACCATGGCCTGGATCAGACACACCTTCGTCATTCAAACGAACAACATTACTGCTCAATATTTTGGAGAGGTCCCTAATGGTGAACTTCTCCAGTGCAATACATCTCCTGACCTGGCTGCTGGTACCAAGAGTGTTGATTATGGAGCCAAGTAAAATGAAGTCATAGACAGTTTCCATCTTTTTTCCATCTATCATGATCTAGCCTATCAGTCCAGTAGTGAGAATTTTTGTTTACTTAACTCTAAGAAACAATTTCTATTGAAGGCTACAGTCTTTGATCTTGAAATTCTGTCACTTCTCAATAAAATTTATAGCAAAGGGTCACAATGGGTTAAACCCATCATGGTATGAATGGGGGATGGGAGAGCACAACAGGAATCTTACTCGGGTGGTTTTCATCCAGTTCAGTGATTTTCCATTTATTTCTACCTCTGCACAGGAAAGCCTAGACACATACTGTTTCCTGGTCTTCGCTGCCATCTGTATGGCAGGTGCTATCTACTTCTACTTTGTCCTGCCTGAAACGAAAAACAGAACCTATGCACAAATCAGCCAGGCCTTCCCTAAAAGGAACAAGGCGTACCCACCAGAGGAGAAAATGGGTGCAGTCATCTCTGACAATAAGACCAATAGAAGGCCCTACCCAGACGCCTCCTCCACGCTGGACAACTCCACCCAAACCACCATTGTATAGATGGATGAGCTCAGCACTTCAGAAAGGCAGGTTACCCCTTACGTTTGGAAAGTTCACACTGACAGGAGCAATGTAAACCTTACTTTATTGAGTATTTAAAAATAAATTTGTGAATCTGGCATCTCCACTCTTTGGGCTGTACCCCCAGCTGTGAATGCTCTACACCCTTGTGGAAGGTAGAATGTGCTGCCCTCTCTTTCAGAAGATTTAGTGTTCTTCTGTGTCGATCGATGGGTAGCCTTACTTCATGACTTCATCTTGGCCTTCCCACCAAAAGCGGGGAAATGGTATTTTAATGTTTTGTCAAAGGCAAACAATGTGACTTGAATGACTCAGTGGACTGGTCATCTTGGATCTACCATAAGTTTCCTTGAGCTGCCCTCAGACCAGCTCCAGAAGCCTCAATGGACCCTTAGCTTTCTCTTGATGACAGCTTCCACTGTTTGATGGAAAGATTCTTGGCACTTCCTAATTAGTTCCTGTTGCCAGTGCTTTGCTTGTTTTGCTGGGCTTGAACTTAAGAGAACCCGATAGCAACCCAACATCCTCCAGGCTCTGCCTTTCCCAGAATATGCCCCATGGAACTCAAGACTTCTAGCTGCAAACCTTATCTTCATCTCGGAGACTTTTATTTCTGTGTACTCACAAAGGCATGTTGTTGTGTTGATATCTACCATCGAGTCAGAACCAAAGCTGACCCACCAGCGGGTTTTCAGAGACAGTAATCACACAGGAGATTACCCAACCTTCTCCCATGGAGGAGCTGGTGGAATCGAACTGCATGCCTTTGGGATTGCAATGCAGCTTCTTGCCACTAGGCCACCAGAGCTCCCTTTACAGAGGCATAGCAAGGATCAATACATGGAAGACCTAGAGATCTAGATACAAGAAGTAACTTCCCAATGGCCAGAGTAAAGACTGCAAATCAAACTCTGTTGAATTGAAAATTAGTGTCGAGAATGCTTCTGGGGTTCACTCTGTGTTTGGAGGTAAGGAACACTGTGATAGACTGTCAACGTCCACCACGGGGGTAGAAATGAGCATCAGCGTGTGTTCTCCATGTCCAACAAACTTGAAAAGGTAAGATGTTGGTACCTTCGATGACGGTGAGTCTACACGGATTGGATGACACTCATCTTGACTCTTGGTCAAGAAACTCAGCATCCATTTTTAGACTAGACAATGCCAGGGTCTCTTCCAACCTTAGCATGCAACACTGTTTTAGTGGGAACAACCTGAAGCCTGAAATTGTAAAATATCCCTTATGTTTGAGATGATTTCTTCTGTGCATCTCCAGAGTAAAGCAAGTGCAAAGTGTCCATACATCAGTGAAAGTGTAGTTGAACCATCACCAGTGTGTTTGATGTTAGTATGTCACAGAAGAAGGAGTGGGGCCAGACAGGGAAAGCTCCGGCCCTAACAAAGCAACTACAGTCCTCCTTGATAAAATCTCTTCCATTTTCCCTGGTAATTCTTGACAAACACAGTCTAACTGAAACTTAAGCTCTGATTTTTCTTGCCATCTGGACAAGAATCAAGCTGGTCGTTCATCATCGACCCTCTCCTTTGGGTGACAGCCAATGCAATGCAATGTCTTCCAGTTTCTGTTTGACTGGACAATTGGGACAGTATTTGTCAATTTGGAAAGTGAAATATGGGCACCAAAAAGAGCCTGGGACCAAAAAAGTGCCCAATAAAGTGTAAAATGAAATTTCTGAGTTCTCATTTCATTTTTTTTGTTTTGGTGTGGTTTTATTTCTTTCTTATTCATTGTTACACATTTTATTCCCCCCTCCCTCCCTTCCCGAGCCCACCCCACAATGTACCACTTATTCCAGATGATTGTCATACGTATAATGCCTAATCATATATTCATTTCAGTTCTTCCCCTCATCTATTCTAATGCGACATTCATTATCTATTCAGTCTTTTCCCATTCTCTCCCCACCCCCACCCCTGTCTGTCCTATTTAATAACAACAGTGTTAAGGTAAACAACACAATCACAAAATGGGGACAAGCTATGAATAGGCACTTCACTAAGGAAGACATTCAGATAGAAAACAAATTCAAGAAGAAACATTCTGATGAGACATCATCTTACCCCAGCAACAATAGCAGAGTTCAGCAGGGCATCAAACAACAAATGCTGGCAAGATTGTGGAAAGATTGGAATGCTTATTCTCTGCTGGTGTTTGTTGTTGTGTACAACTCATAGCTGACCCTCCAGTGGGTTTTCAGAGGCAGTTAATCACATGGGAGGAGATTGTCCATCCTTCTTCCGCAGAGCAGCTTGTGGATTCGAACCACGTGCCTTTGGGATCTCAGAGCCATTTCTTTTACCACAAGGACCACCAGAGCTGCCAGCTCACTGCTGTTGGGATTGTAAAATGGTACAGCTACTATGGAAGGTGGTCTGGTGCTTTCTCACAAAGTTTTTGTTTCATTTTGACACTTGAGCATTCAGTCAATAAATGTGTTCTAAGTGCCTACCATGTAATAGGCAAGTTGGCAGGCACTGATGATTCCTCAAGGAGCAAGAAGTACCCTGCCCTTGGTCACTTCAGCCAATGTCTAGTAGAGCCAGCCAGTTGCCATCAAGCAGATTCTGATGACCTTGTCACCTAGGGACTCCATCTACCAGAGAAGCTAATGGCATTAAAGATTAACGGAATCAGTTATCAGTGCTGAAGCAGGGAGGACACAGTGATGTTCTTGTTCTTGTTGTTAGGTGCTACGAGTGGACTACATACTCATAGCAGCTCTACAAGCAACAGATCTGAACCTTGCCCTACGCTGCACCGTCCTCACAAGCTGTCACGTTCACAACCTTTGTTGCAATCCTTATGTCACGATATCTTTGAAGGTCTTCTCTTTTGCTGACCTTGCAACTTTGCTAGCCTTATGGCTTTTTCCGAGGACTAGCCCCTCTTGACAATATGCCCCAAACTGAAGAGACAAATATTCACTCTATTTGCCTCTAAGGAATACCCTGGTTGTACTTTCTCCAAGACAGAATTGTCAGTTCTTTCGACAATCCATGGTGTATCCAATATTTTTCACCAACACCATACTTCCGAAGCATCAATTCTTGTTGTTCAACCGTCCTTATTCATTGTGAAAATTTCAGATGCATTTGAAAATACCATGGCTTGGATCTGGTACACCTTAGTTTTTAAACTGACATGCTTGCTTTTAACATTTTAAAGATATTTTAACAACAGATTTCCCAACACAACACAGCTTTTGATTTCTCAACTGCTGCTACCGTGAGTGTTGATTGTGATTCCAAGTCAAAGAAAACCCTTGACAAGTTCAATCTGTTCTTCATTTGTCATGAGATTGCCTGTGAGTCATGGTGACTAATTTTGTATTAAAGATTGAGGAGTTTTGTGATATTGAGGTGGTAAGCCACACTGAAATCTTTTCTCTTCTTCCATAAGCGCTTCATGTTTCCATCACATGAACTGCAAGCAAGGCAGTGTCTACTGCATAACACAGGTTATTTGTGAGTCTTCCTCAAATCCTGATGCTGCATATTTCTTCATAGAATCCAACTTCTCTAATTGTTTGCTCAGCATAGAGATTGAAGAGGTATGAAGAAAACATACAACCCAAACATATATCTTTTCTGGAATTCATTAAGTCAAAGCTTTTTTTTTAAAATTGTCTTCACTTTCAATAGTAACGTAGGAACATGTAACTGGACCACATAACCTGAGATTCAATTTTCTGAGCATGGATCACCATTCCTCCTTCTGTAGCAGATTTTAGTTTATTTAATGCATTAGAGCAAGGCCCCAGGAATTGATGGTATACCAATTGACACATTTCAACAAGCAGACACTGCCCTGGACATACTCAAGTTGTACCAAGAAATCTGGAGGACAACCACTTGGCCACCTGACTGGAAGAGATCCACATTTGTTCCCTTTCCAAAGAAAGGTGACCCGACAAAGTGTGTAAATTATCGAACAATATCATTAATATCACATGCAAGCAAGATTCTGCTGAAAATGATCCAAAAACAACTGGAAAAACACATCAAGAGAAAACTGCCAGAAGTTCAGGCTGCGTTTAGAAGAGGCAGTGGTACTAGGGATATTGTAGCTAATGTTAGATGGATCTTGGCTGAAAGCAGGGAGTAACAGAGGAATATCTATCTGTGTTTTATTGACTATGCAAAGGCATTTGACTGTGTGGATCACAACAAACTGTGGCTGACTCTGAGAAGAATGGGATTCCCAGAACACTTGATTGTGTTTATGTGAAACCAATACTTGGACCAGAAGGCAGTCGTCCAAACAGAGCAAGGAAACACTGCTTGGTTCAAAATCAGGAAGGGTGTACACAAGGGATATGTCCTATCTCCATACCTTTTCAATCTACACGTGGAACAGATCAACTGGGAGGCTGGGCTCTATAAGGAAGAATATAGCAACAGGATTGAAGGAAGACTTACCAACAATCTGCATTATGCAGGTGTAACAACAGTGCTCGCTGAAACTGAGGAGGACCTAAAGCACTTGCTGCAGAGGGTCATGGACTCTAGTCTTCAATATGGATTGAAGTTCAATATCCAGAAAAAAGAGTTTTTCACCACTGCGTTGATGATAGACCATGAAGGGATCAAGATTGTTAACAGATTTAGTTTGCTTGGCTCCACAATCAACACTCTTGGTACCAGAAGCCAGGAAATCAAAAGACAAATTGCATTGGGTAGACCTGCTGTCAGGGACCTCTCTACAGTACTAAAGAGCAATAATGACAGTCTGAAGACTAAGATGCACCTGATTCAGGCCATAGTCTTTGCAATTACTTGCTATACATGAGAGATCTGGACAATAACTAGGGATGATAGAAAATCAATACCATTGAACTGTGGTGCTGGAGAAGAGTATTGAATATAACACAGATTTCCAGAAGAGCAAACAGGTTCAGCCTAGATAGGGTGAAGCCAGGCTGCTCCTTGGAGGTGAGGATTCGGAGGCTTTTGTCTAACATATTTTGGGCATGTTGCAAGGAATGACCAGTTCTCAGAGAAGGACATCGTCCTTGGTAGGGTGGTGGGACAGCACAAGAGAGGAAGACCCTTAATAAATGGATTCAGTGACTGGGGTAATAGGGATAGGTGTGTCAGAAAGAACAAGGTTGG